CCTGCTGCCTCACTTGTGTCTTGCACCAGGACTCCTGGAGCATGCCTGAACTGTGGTTCCCAACAGCTGCTATGAGCAAAGCTGTGCCAGCACCTGTGCTAGGGTGCTGAGCTCCACAGACCACAGTGTGCTGGCTAAGTCCAAGCAGCGCTTTGAGAATGGCAGTCAGACCTAGATGCTTTGGTGCCCTGGTGCCTGGGAAGAGCCAGCCTCCAAACTTCAGTGGACTCAGGCTTTAGACTCCCTGCTTTAGACTGGATCATGGGGCCGAGGTCTCCTGAGACCCCTGTTGCCCACATAGCTCTGACAGCTTCTTTCAACCTTGTCCCAAGACCCTATTTCAGAGCTGGTCCACCTTCCATTTTCCTTGCCTCCCCACCACTGTGCAGACAGCATACATACGCAGATGGCGTTGATATCGGACTCGTGCCCTGAGAAGGTCTGACGGCAGGTGCCCTCCCGCACATCCCACAGTTTGGCAGTAGCATCGCAGGCCCCAGAGATGAAGAGTTTGAAGTCTGGGGAGACGGCCAAGCTCATACAGTCCCCGGTGTGACCCAGGAACACAGTCTTCTGCTGCCCTGTCTCAATGTCCCAGAGCGCGCTGTGGGAGAGGAGAGAACTTCTCAGAGCCAACCCAGGCAGAGCAGATCTACAGCCGGGCTGAAGAGCTGTCCTACTCGCAAACAAAAGGAGGGAAACCATGGGCCTGGCTACAGCATGGGAAAATGGGTGAGAGTATCACTGGAGTCAGCTGTATACAACAGGAGATATCTTCACAGCTGTTGCTGGTCATACCTTTGCCAAAGCAGGGTTAGACCTAAGGCTGGGGGTGTGGTTTGACCGTATTCCCATAACTACAGCAGTTGAAGGGAAGAGTGAGAGGAGGTAAGAGGGACCCACAGGCAAACAGCTGAAAAAGGTCTGCTGTATCCACGCTCGTAGAATGCATGGGCCATGTTCACTGGGATTCCACACTACAGCCAGGCAAACAAGCCTGGTGTAACCTTGATGTGTGATGGAAATGCCACATCCTGACTCGACCTCAGTCAAGAGGTTCTTCCAAAGCAGGTGTTGGGATGGGGTGGGGGTGAATAAAGACTTAACATTGCTCCGAATCACAGCACAGTGAGACCTGAGAGCCAGGAACCAAAGGATCCAGGCACTGGCTTTGCAGGTGTCCCTTGCACAGTGGGTAAGACTTGAGAAGTGGAGCATGTATGTGGGCTTCACGTAAATTTACGATGTTTTGTGTCCTGGGATAAATGACACTGTGCTTTGTGAGAGCTGATGATACGGTCCCTACTGCTTCACCAATAGATCTGCATCTTGACCTGACCTCAACTAGGAAAAGAAGCACCTGTTCTGCCAAGGGAGGAAGAAGGGATCTGGCTTCCTAAGGTGCTGTGCATGGCTTCCCTCTGTAGGAGCAATTTGTCCTTAGATAGTGGACTGCTGCAGAGCAAAAGGACTGTACTCGCTGATGTGAGCTGTGCCTCTAAGAGCCAGAGGTCATGTCACTAGGATGCAGAAGATAACACTCACCATGTGGTATCTCCAGAGCTAGTCACAATACTGTTGTCATCAAGAAATCGGCAGCAGGAGAGGTAACCTGGGAAGGGGGAACAAGGAAATATGAGAAATGGGACAGGGCTAGAAAAGTTAGGTTTGGAAGCAGAGGGCACCTAGGTTGCAGGCAGGCAGCCAGCACACACACCTGTATGGGCTGAGAGCTCCCTGATCACTTTGACATTGCCTTCGTGAGTCTTGAGGTTGTAGATGGAGCACATGTTGTCAAGGCCCCCACAGGCCACAAAATTGCCTGAGGGGGCATAGGCACAGGTCATGACCCAGGAAGAACGCAAAGGGATGGCATGAACCTGGGAGGACAAGAAACCATGTCAGGACTCTGGCAGCAGAGAGAGCAGGGCAAGGGCACTAACTCCGAGGGGACCCACTCCAGCATCCCGGTTTGCTGCAGCCATCTGACTCCTACCTTGTTAGTTGTGTACGTGTCCCACACAATCAGTTTCCCATCTTGTGAGGCACTGTTCAGAAGTCTGTGAGAGAGGAACAAGATCATGTTAGTAGCTTTCTTCCCATCAGGGCCTTCTTGCCCTTCACACCCATGTGCTGCCCTGCACCCAGCAGACCAGCAGCATCTCTCTCACTTGGAGTCCGTGGACCAGTGCATGGCGTAGATCTTGGCCAGGTGCCCACGCAGGGTCCTTCGGGTCCGCATCTGAATGCGGCCAACAACCTCCACTCCAGA